GTCTTCCACACCTGCATTCTCTCCTCGTCTTCTACACCTGCATTCTCTCCTCGTGCAGTTTTCTCTCTCTTCCTAGTTCCATCTCCTCATATTCTACTTCCCAAACAGACAAAGTCGGGAAGATAAAAAGGCATGTACTTCTCGAGGAAACCCTCAGCGCCCTCTGGTACGGAAGCCTTTTCAGACCGTGACACCTGCGTGTGGCCATCATGTCCCCTGAGCGCGGGGTAAGGCACCCGCTGCTGAGCCCACTCCACACAGCAGCGCGGCGATGCCCACTCTGCCTGCTCTTGTTCTTGGGGAAAGTTATCCTACGTTAACTGCCAACTAAGGTTGATCATGTGCAGATCTATATTTTAAGATTTGAGACCTGATCCATGAAATTTCTGCTCAAACAGGTCTTCCGGTCAAATTGCCATCGTCCAGCCCTGCCTCCGATGCCTTTTGTAGCCCCCACCATGGATGCGAGGGTCTCTCCTCTGCAGCAGTGCCCCAGATTGCACGCTGAGATTGCTCAAATACTTGGGATCCTTTGCTTGTCTCCATTAAATGAGCCTAGGTTCTGCGTGGAGCACTGGGTGTTATGCACAAACAATGAATCATGGAACTCCATCAAAAACTAATGATGTAATGTATGGTGATTAACATAACATAAAAAAAGCCTTGTATTTTGATTCACAAATACAAAATATATTTTCTCTATATTATTAAAATTATATGTGCAATCTAAAAAAAAAAAATGAGCCCAGGTTAAGTATGTTGAGCTGTCCTATCAAGTTTGGGATTCTTCCATCCCAACTTCTGATGGCAACCAGTCTATCAGCCCACTGCTCTCAGCATCTGACACGAGCAGGTAGCCTTTCTGCTTCCAATGAGCTCTGGGCTGGGAAACCAAGCCACCCCACTTATCAGAACCGCACCTAAAGTAAGAGCCAGTACCTCTGAGTGTGCACCTTAGTGTCTCCCCTGGGAGAAGCACTCACAAGGTTCTGGGTATGGGCTTTATAATTTTTATTTTGGTTGCAGTCTCTTTTGGGGTTCATTTCCTTGTTCTCAGTTTGTCTTAGCGGGTTTGTATTATTGGATAAGTGACCTCCAGATAAAGGAAGTCTCAGAAGATTTAAGACATTTAATAAGAGAAAGCAGAATGCACGACTAAAGCAGACGTCTCCCATATTGTCATGTAAATGCAGTAACAGTATTTAATGGCATAAACGCATTAACCCACAACACAGTGAAACTCATTGCCACCCATTTGTCACTTTCACTTGGAAGACGATGTTATCACAAGAACATCTTCCCATGAATTAGAGCCTGGTGCGTTCTCTTGAACCAGACCCAGGAGTGCAGACACATATGGGTGCGTGCTCACAAGCAGCCTCACACCCTCTGCTGAGCTGGCTCCAGGCTCGCCCACCCCTCCTACCACCATCAGCCCTGCTGGCCCATCTCTCTTCTCCATCCACATGGCCCTTGCTCCTGCCTTGTCCCCTCACCCTGCCCTGCTCTTCCATGGCAGTCCCCCCCTCCCTCAGCCTCTCACCTCCTCTGTATGCCATCCATGTGTAGATGCACTGGCATGCCGTCTTGTCACACAGCCCAGAGCCCACGTCATGTGCAGTAAGTCAGGGAGACTGTTTGGCTTGGGTTTACAGAATCCGCATCTCTTCCTTATAGTTATGATTCATACAGATGATCGCCCTTTCAAAACTGGGCTCCTTGCAAATGCTACAGGCTTTTCAAGGTACAAGCCACCATGTGTGTCAGGTCACGAGCACCTGAAGGTCATACTTAACATCTTCGTGAAATAGAGAGTGCACCGACTCTGGAATCGGAAGAACCTGGACTCAAATCCCTCCACGGCCACACACTGATCCTGTGACTTTGTCTAACTCCTGAATCACACCTGCCTCCCAGGACTGCCATCAGAACTAGCTGAAATAAATGTGAAGTCTCTACAACAGTGTGTAGCTCCTAATAGACCCAATAAAATTTAGCGTCCTTCTCTCTCCCCAAGGCACAACCAAAGTTGCCCAAACAAGCTTTCGGTCAACACCTGACTCCCTAAGATGAACGTTGCAATTTTTTTTTTTTTTTGCCTTCAAGGCATGAAACAGTTTTATTAAGACAACACAGATACAGTACTTTCTAAATTCCAAAACAAAGCAAAAACTTACCACTGGAGAAGTAGCTTTTTATTCTACAAATGAGCCACCACTGAGTTTCTCCCTTCAATTTCAGATTTCTTAAATCTTCAGATTTCTCTTCACTGGTGGAAACAGCCTGGCCCTCTCCTTGCTGTAGAAGACAGTGTAGACGCTGTGCCACCCCAAGGGCTCCACACTCTGGACGTCCTTGTGCTCAGTGCTCAGCAAACTTCTCAAGACAGCACTCCCTCATTCTCTGCCCACAGGCTGGGCAGTGCGGTGAGCGGCCTCACCACAAACTTTATTCCTCCAGCACATACTTCAGATCATACAAAGGTAACAAATAAAGTGGAGGAAGGAAGACAAGTGTATGTAAGTAGGTCACTTGATCATTTCAATTTTACATATAAATTCTTGTTGTTTCAGAATTGTTAGTCAGGGAAATATTTTTTTTATTTTTCTTGGAAATTCCAAATTAATTAGAATGATTATAAAGTTCTCTGAAAAGCTCCACACAGTACTGAATGAACTTTACAATCGACTACCCATGCTCTTATTCTTAAGAGAATAAAAAGCCTGAAAAAAATATGACTAATGTTTTTATGGTAAAAATATAATGACTAGAGAACCAGCGTGTCACAAACATCACAGGCCTGTGACCGTCTCTGAGAGAAGGCATTAACCCAGTTGCAAAGGAGAAATCCCACCCATGTCGTTTCACTAACCTTTTCTACAGCATGTGGCCATTATATACCATAACTTGACCTATTTAGGAACAGCAGAAACCTGAGTTTTCACAGCCCCAGAACAACTGTCAAAATTTAGTTTGGGAACAGCCTTCTTGTTTGAGGGGTAACCTGAGTTACCTTCTTCACTTATCTAAAATAAGCAGTATTCAAGCTATAAATGCCCCAGGAAATGTCCCAAATTGGCCCTTGATACAAAACACAAGACTCTGTTGGGCAAAAGTAAGAATATACATCTCTGGTCTGTCCATTTCCTTTCTTTTTCATGTGATTATAAATAGTATTGTTCATGTTAATTAACATTTGTGTAATACAAATTAGAAGGTATTTTTCACATTTATCATTTCATTTAATCCAGACCAACAATTTTGGTAAAGTATTTTACAAACAGAAATGTTTTACAGATGGAAAGAAGCTAGCACGTAGAAATGTTAAGTGATTTGCCTCAGAGTATATACATCAGAAACAGTGGATTCAAAATGTTAAGACCTAGGTCTTCTAAGTCCTCCTGACACGATACTACAATTCCTTTTTTCCTTCAGCAAATACTTACTGACACCTACTGTGTGCTTGGCACTTTTCTAGGCAAAAGGGTTACGGCAGTGAATAAAACAGACAAAATCCTTGACCTCATGGGATTCACATTCCAGGCATGAGAGCTGGACAATAAACAAAATAAATAAAAAGATATATAGTATGGTAGATGGTGATAAGTGCCATGGAGGTCAGATGAGGGTCCCTGAGGCAATTGGAAGTAGAATAAACAGCAGAAGTTTCACGGATAAGGCAACACTCAAGTAGAGCCCGGAGGGAGGGATGGGAGGGAGCCATGTGTTTACCTGGGGAGGGAGCATTTCGGGGTGAAGGAACAGCGAGGGCAGTGTCCCTGACGCAGACATTTACCGGCAACGTCCAAAGCCAGTATGGCTGGAGGGAGCCGGGAGAGGGCATGGGCAGTTGGAGTCGAAGAGGCAAAGAGGTGGTAGGATCCAGGTCATGGAGCCCGGCAGTCCATGGTGGCGACTTTTACCTTCCTGTCAGGGTGAGATGGAAGGCTAGTGGGAGGTTCTGAGTGGTATCATCTGATTTACATTGTAAGGAGATCGCTCTGGCGGCCCTGTTAAAAATAGATTAGGGAGACCCAGGGGAAGTGAGGACGACTACCCTCTTCCCCACAGTAAGAGACGGTGGTTCTGTGCAGAGATAAAGCCAACAGGATTCGCTGGCAGACCGCATAGACAAGAAACCACAAAAGACGACCCAAGGTGTTTGCAACAGTGGAGACATGGAGCTCATCAACGTGGCAGGGAAACACGAAGCAAAGGCAGGGTGGGGGTGAGGTTGGTTGGGGACTTGAAAAGTTAGATAACAAGGAGACTATCCCAGTGGTGATATCCAGTACACAGATGTTTATTTGAATATGGAGTTCAGAGACAGTGCTGGGCTAGAGGGGTACTTTTAGGGCTCATCAGCTTATGAGATCACCAAGGGAGTGGGTGCAGATGGCCAAAACGAGAGGCCCAGGGTCTGAGATTTGGAGGCCAAGTGCAAACATGCTTCAAGAAGGAGAGAATAATCAACCATGTCAATGCTGCTGGCAGATCAAGCAACACAAAACTGAAAAAAGTGACCACTAGACCATTTAGCAGCATGCAAATCATTGCAGTCTTGCCATGGTTTTTGTTGAGTGGTGTCGAGAAAAAAACCTGACTGTAAGAGAGTTAAAGATAGGAGAGAATACAAACATTTATCTCAGAGAATTTGCATGAGGGAAAGAGAAATAGGCAGTAGCTAAAGATGATACTAGAGTCAAAAATATTTTGTGAACATGCAAGCAATAAGGGATGGGTTTGCATATTGGTGGGAATGGCCAGCGAAGAAAGAAATGTTGACTGTGCAAGAGAGAGGGAGAAGTGCTTGCTCTCCATCATGGACTAGACCAAGGTGGCCGGGAGAGAGTGTGGGGAGCGGCCAGACTGGGGGGGGGGGGCAGCCCTCCCACCCTGCAGTCGTGGGCCATGAAGCAGCATCTGCGGGCAGAGGCCAGGAGGCAGGTGCAAGTGGGGTGCAGAGGTGCTTATGCAGGTTCCTTTCTGATTGTTCCTGTGTTCTCAATGAATAGGAAACCGTGTCTTCCCCTGAGAGTAAAGCTGGAAATAGAGGTGTCAGGCCTTGACCAGAGAGATAAAGGAATGAGGAAGCCATTTGGGGGAAGGGATAGAGAATTCTCTACTGCCAGGCACAATCGGCAAGCAGCCATAAATTTAAAGTGAGACCAGCGACTACCATTGTTTGCTCTCTTTTTCTAGACATATTTGGTTATGTGGGTGCAAGAGTGGAGTAGGAGGAGTGTTTAATTCAAGCAGAGCTGTGGTTTTAGCCAACTGAGTAAGACAGAGAGTGTGCCAGCATTATACCGCCTTCTACCCACTCTACCCAGAATACTCCCCCGGGAATCTCCAATGATGGCCCAAGGACAGACCACTCCCCCCAGAATACTCCCGTGATGGCCCAAAGGTAGACTAGTTGAAAAAAAGAAACTAATGATCACCTTGTAGCTTCAGACACAGGGTCTATCAGACCCGCAGTCTTGTCTCTGACACTGGTACCAAAGAATACATCATGACCTGGTGTAACTGTCCTGTCAAGTACAGATTTAACAGCAAGGTTAATCCAAACTCTTGGCTCCTTTAAAAATCAATGATGAGGGAGCCTGGGTGGTGCATTTGGTTAAGTATCCGACTCTTGGTTTCAGCTCAGGTCATGATCTCGGGGTGCGAGATCGAGCCCCAACAACAGGCTCCTCGCTCAGCACGGAGTCGGCTTGAGGTTCTTTCTCCCTCTCCCCTCTGCTCGTGCTCTATCTCTCAAATAAATAAATAAATCTTTAAAAAATATCTATGATGGTCTTCAACACAAAAACATTTAAATCTTGTTTTACTTTTTATTGATTTTGACCCTGTCAGTTCTCAGGGCAACTGATTATTGAATTTTGCTATCATCTATAAAAGCAACACTTTTTTTACCCTAACTTACTTTTCTTATGCATCTAATACATGCCAATACTCTGATATTTAGCAAGCAAACCTGTGTGCAGTGTAGTGGTATCAATGATGGTAATAATTACCGCATCAGGTTGTTTACAGTGCAGATGTATTTCAGAAAGGTAAAAAAATGCTACTTAAGCAAAAGTAGCTACGTGAAATTGCTTGTTCGATCTTAGTAGAGTAAATAGTATAAGCAACCTTGGGGTTGTCTGCCCTTATTGACATGGAAAGCTTGCTAATGGGTGCTTTTAGACATCAAATGTAGGCCCAGAGACTTATCCGGGCTGGGGTCTGGGAGACCTTATTCTGATAAAATAACGAATTTGGAGGCAGAAATTTCTAATATTTGGATCTGAGGTTGTCCTGGCCTTTTCTGTGATGTAGCCAGCACTCTAATATCCCCAAACCTCAGGGAAAACCTTGCTGCCTACATGAGACATATATTAGAAGTGCTCTATGGGAATGAAGAAAAGAAATGGTCTTCAGAATTCAGCACTGAAACCAAAATCACTGCGGCCAGGGGCCAAGAGCACTGTTAGAAACCTGAGAACGTCGGCAAAAAGCAAGGGCACACCCAGGGGTGTGGCGGCTCAAAGCATCCCCCAGATGGCCCTGCCACGGCCCACGCTGCACCAGGAGCTTCCCACGCACCACACCAGAGCGTGAAGCTGGAAGGTGATTTTGAGTTCTTCTCCACTGGGATGGCTTACTTGACTTTTCACCACCTGGACTAATTTACTTATCTGAGCCCACGGAAAGGGGCTAGTCCCACCTCGAACCCAGGGCCGGCTTCTAGCAAAAACCCCAAACTAAGAACTTACAAACTTGTAAACATTGCCCTGAGATAAACATATTTTTATTGTTTTGATACCTACATTGTCTTTCAATATGTACAAAAAATATTTACAGTTAAACACTTTATTTTGGCTTGTTGAAATACACACTTGTAAGGATGCCAAATGGGCCTCTGGCAGAGCGAGCAACCGAGGCCTGCGGCAGTCAGCTTCCTTAGCGTTTCTGGAGACCAGTGCTGCTCACAACATTCGTTTATTCCGGAAGAATAAAGTGGGCCCGATTCCTGCCTCCTCCAGCCAAACCCAGCAATGTCACAGGACTCCATTATCTTTTCAATAAGGACCATTAGTGATGAGTAACACCTGCATTTCAAGGGCAGAACGCATGGCTGTGCGCCAGGGATTTGGAGATTCGGTGTGAGCATGAATAATGCAGCCTAGTTATTCTAACCCTCACGGTCATGGCCTCCCTTCACGTGCACTGAGATCTCATTATTTAGAACTGTTGCCTACCGGTACCTACTATTACATACTGGATGGACATAATTATTAACTAAAAGCAAATCTCCAGTGATTAGCACAAAAAGGCTCAACCTTTCACCCGCCCCTTCTCCCTCCCAGTCTCCTAAGAAAAGGGGCCAATGTGAAGTCTTAGTTACATTCTGAATAAGCTGAGCATTGTTATTATGTTCCCCAGTGTTACCTTCCTGCCTCCCAAGATTAAATTTCTAACCGTGTCATATGAGGGCATTCAGCTTTTCGGGGGTGTCACCTGTTTATGGTAGCGCCTGGGAACCAGCACAGGGTCAGATAAAACAGAAGGTTAATTCGTAGAAGTAAGTGAAAACGTAACTGTGAAACAGAGTGGGTCCCCCCTACGCCTGATGCTACAGGGACATTGTGATGAAAGCGCAATGTCGCCTCCCCGGTCCGCACCGTCCAACCACCAAACACACCCACCTTCCATATTTCCTCCAAACCCACCTTCATATTTCTCGCTTTTGCTAACCTCGTGTCTTAAAGCTCTGTGTGGGCAGAACAGGTAAAAGAAACTGTTTGTGGCTGGTCTGCGATCTTACAGCGAAGGGAGGAGGATTGATTGGTAACGCTGAGGCCAGAACCGAGAGCTTCATAATCCACACAGACCCATCCCTGACCCCCTGCCGTTGTCCCACTAAAACCATTCAGAAAGGGCCAGGGTACACTCACGTGGTATGCTTCGTTCTCAAGGGCTCTTTCAAAATCAGACTTTCTCAGGTCTCATGACCTTGACACCTGACACTGCAGATTGGAGGATGTTCCTCAATTTGGGTTTGTGCTGGGTTTCCTTATGACTAGATGCGGGATATGCCTTTCTGGCAGAAACATCACAGAAGTGATGTTGTGCTCTTCTCACCGGGTCCTAGCAGGTGGTGCAGGGCTGGGATCGTCCCGGGGCTGGGACCGTGCGGGGCTGGGACCGTGTGGGGCTGGGATCATCCCGGGGCTGGAATCGTGCGGGGCTGAGATCGTCCTGGGGGTGGGGCTAAAGCGATGGAAGATGAAGGGGCATCTGGCCGACTCCAGTCAGGTCGTTCTTTCTCACTTTGGAATGAGGAAGTCCTTGAAGAGGAAAAGCTGTGATACTCCCTAAGCGTCCCCTTCCTCATCCAGCTTCCACCTGCCAGGTGCAGCACACCTGGGCGCTTCCTGCCTCACTTACTAGGAGCGTCCAGCCACCAGCCCTCCCACGTCAAGATGCCTGCATTCTGCTAAAAGCTTCCTCTCTTCCCTATTCACTGATGCCAAATCAGGCTCACAGGTTCCTATTTAATTCAGTGGGTTATTGACTAGCCCACTGTTGTTTTATTACTGTCAATATCATTATTTATTTTGACGTGAAGTCGCTCCAGATTTCGGCAGGAGGAGCCGCTGGTTGCTGGCCACTCTGTCCTCCCAACAGCACTCAACCCTCTCAACTGTTGGAGCTCTTCCTGCCTCCTGCTGTAAGCCCAGCGGGCCCTGCCCCAGCCCCAGCCCTGGAAGCTGCCCTTCCTCCAAGCCTGGCTCTGTTCCATGGAGAAAGGGATGCAGAAACGAGTCCCTGGGCTCTAGCATGTTCTTGGCTACCGGGGTGTCTGCTCCCAGGCCCTCGGGGTGGAAAAGCCAGGGGTGCGTTTCTGTCTGCACACACATACACACGTACTCACACACGAGCGCACACACACACACATTTACCTCCCTACTTGTATCTGTGTCTACCCACAGATGTTGAAACCAGTCCTCCCCACCAATATCTCCAATTTTAATGTAGCACTGTAGGATTTATTCTAGTCTTCTCTCTTTCCATATTTATAATTTCCCTCTTTGACCATGAGAAACGTGGCTTCTAAAATCGTCAGGATAATAACCCATTTGACCAATCCTCCCTCTGTCTAGCCAGTCTCCCATCACCACTGCCGCCATCCTCGGTAGCTGCCCTCTGCCCTTGGCTTGGTTCTGATACCCCACTCTGGGTTGCCATCCACACTCCCACATAAACAACCTCCTCAATCCACTTGTATTCTGGACCATGTGTCTTCACCTGCACCACGTGTCCACAGCCACAGCCCCCCTGGGCACGTGAATGTTAACTTCCATGTGAGTAACTGTAAGCAGGGCTGCCGCTCATAGTTGCACAGGATGTACACTGAACAACTCCAGAAAAATCACAGTTTGTGGAGGTTTTGACCCTAGTTTCCTTTCCAGGCTCTTCAACTTTCTTCAGATATTTACTAACATATTAGCACTTATGAAAAGATGTCTATAATAGTAAACTCATGAACATTGTTTCTCTCCAACCACTGATGCAACTTGCGAACAAACAAAACTTTCCTCAAATATTTTTCTCTCACTTACTTGCCCAATACTTACCAATAACATGTATTAGGATTTCAGGTTAATTAGGATCTTCCCAAGTCCAGACTTTTGCTTTTCATTTATTCGCTAGAATCAAGATGCTTTCCAGGACCATGGCCTTTGGCCTCTAGGACATTTCCTTAGATATACGAAAGACACAGAAGTGACTTTTGTCCATGACTAGTGTTTTTATCTATTGCTGGTAAAAGTCATCGATCATGTATTCTCTAAGCAGCCTGGAAACAGCCTATTTTTCTCGTTCACAAATGCTTTTGTCTCTTATTTTTCTCCGCAAGTCCCTCATTCACTTCCTGGGGTGGGGGGGGTGTTTGTTTTAACCAAACAAACCCAGTGTGTGTTGGTTGTCGTCGGCGATGGGAGGCCCCCTGCACCACACACACTGTCGATGCTCCTCCCCCACCCCGGTCAGCTTCCTCTTCCCTGACCCGAAGTAGCAGGTGCCCAGCCCAGCGCCCAGCTCTCCTGGGTCCCGCCCCTGCTGACCCGTTTGTAGGGCAGAGTCAGACTCATAACAGCTTTGTCTCCTTTGATGCTACAAGACTCTAACCATTTTCACACTCGTTTTCTGAGTTTTGAACTGGTTAAAACTGCATCTTTTGTAGGAAAAATAGAGACAGCATGCTTACATGGGGCTCAAGGAAGACAGGTAACTGAGGGCATCGCCTTTGAGCCAGGAAGACCCCTGGAACAAGCAGCCGAAACTCCCTGATGGTTTGCGTTGTCTTCAGACCGACGCGTGGCCCCATGGGTGAGTTCCGAAGTGTGTGAGCGGTCCCTGCCCACGTTTAGGCATGAATATGTGCAGATTGCAGAGACGAGTGCTGGCCTAGAGACCAACCTCTCCCAGTTTCTGGGCCCCGCTTCTTCTACGGTGCTGGCAGTGCTGCCTGGACACACAGCCACGGGAACAAAGACTTAGGTCTGCACGCCAGCCTTGGTGGCATCCCACGTGGCATCCCGGAGCATGGCATCTTTTGTGGCATCCAGCATCATCCCATGTAGCATCTCACGTGGCATCCTGCAGCACCCATGTGACATTTCACGTGGCATCCCGTGTGGCATCCCGCGTGGCATCCCACGTGGCAGCATGACAGAGCTCTGGCTCTAGGGCAGTTGAAGGGTCCCCTGGTGTGTCCCCTTCTCCCTTCTTCTCTGTCTGGCCAACCCCTTTACTTGGTGAGCAGAGGGCCATGCCCTGGGGACAGGGGATGGAGGCGCAGGGAGCCCTGTGCCACGTGAGGACCACCCGTCCAGGGCCGCATATCAGCAGGACTGCCTAGGAGAGAAAAGCCCAATTCCAGCTTTTGCTTAAGACTCCACGTTTTACATCTTCTGTCTGTGTAAGACCACTCACTGCTAACCAATACAAGGACAAAAGCTAACAAAACCCAACCACAGCCTTCCGGGGGGTGTGATCAAGTGTACAGATAGCCGGGGACAGAGTCCTGAGCAGGAGGGCAGGGGACAGGCTCACAAGGAGGCCGTGTCAGCAGCCAGACTCCTGCACTCTCCCCTGGAGGACGGGGCAGGGAAGTGGGGTGGAGTCAGGACATGGCTGGGGATGAAGGATGTGAACAAAGGCACAGAGCGAGGACACCGCAGGTGGTTAGGGAGGTGAGGAGGCAGGATGAGCACTGTCCAGGAGAGGAGACAAGAATAAAGAGGTTTTGACTCTGCTTTTTGCAGCCTGACTTTGATGTGTCAGACGTCGTGCTCACCCATGTAGGAAAACTCACTCCGAGGCGTAAAAATTGTAAACCAGCAGCATCCTCCTCGCCTCTCCGCCTCGCCCGAACCTCAGCGGTCCCTGAGCAGCATCAGGGAGGGCTGGGGTCCGGGGACCTGAAGAGGATCAAGCACAGGAGACAGCTCCCACCACTTACATTATCAGGCAAAGCTGAAAGAATGAAAAGTCAACAACGGATTTTATGCCACAGTATCCTCGGGTTGTAGTGATCGTCTGAGAATAATTCCCCACACGTGACAACAACCATACACCCATGCCAAACAGCCCGTCAGTACCACCCGGGCCCGCGGACAGAAGCAAGATCAGGTGGGTCCAAGACAGTGAGAGCCGCCTGAGGGAAGACTCTGACCCTTAAAGCCAGGGGCCTTTGGAACCCATGAGGGTCATGCACGGGTGAGCAGGTTGAGCACTGCTCCATAGTCAAGGCTGGGGTCTGGAGGCGGGATGCCAGTTGGGTTGGGAGACAGATGCAGGCGGAGGAGTTAAGTAAGCCCCTGCAGTGGTCTGACTATGTGGGCTAGGCCAGTGGAACACACCACCCCCAGATATGTCTCTTTGGCCTGTGCACTGTTTTGAACTAAAGCCCTCGAGACCCAGCAGAGGCGGGAACAAGTTCGAAAACATGGCCTAAGTTCTCCTTCTGGAAAGAAACCCGTGCCCCTCTCCCATCCCAGGAGGAGGAGGACTTCGCAGCTCCAATAGTGCAGAAGACACAGGCTCCTATCCGCATAACGAACCTGACTCCCGGCCCTGGGCCCCATCCTTTCCAGGTCATCTCCCCACAACGTGCCGCCCCGACCCCAGCGTTCAGCCCCAGACGGAAGACCCGCCCGCCTTCTGACCAGCCTTCGGGGGACTGGGGTCTGGGTGCTCCTGCGCGGAAGCACAACGCCGCCTTAAAGTCCTCTGCTTTTGTCTCGCTGCTCCCTCTGTGGTCAGTGGTCACTCCCATGTACGGGGCCCCAGCCGGAGCACCCCGGCGGGCTGCAGGAGAAAGAATCTTTCGTCCCCCTGTACAGGTCCTGGAGTGAACGGAAGAGAAAAACGGAAATGTGGGGGAAGGTTTTGAAGGAAGAAGTAGCAGAACTGACTACCGAACCCCGCAACTCGAGGGGTGAGCACGATGCCCAGGTGGCAGGTCACAGTCAGTGCCGGCACGCGGTGGTCACCGCGAGGCTGCGCACCTGTGACACGCCGGCGCCAGACAGGAGAGCGCCGAGGGGGCTTGCCGAGCGCCGGGCTCCAGGCTCCTGGAGGGGGGGCTGCACTCGAGCGGAGCGTTGGAGGATGGCACGGGATCGGCCACCTCCCTGAGAAGGTGAATGGGGAGAACACATTCCAGGGAATGGCACGAGCCACGCCCCGGGGCCAGGGGGTTGCTCCTCAGCTACTCCTGGCCTGACCCCCACGGGACCCTGGTGCGTGGAGGAGGCGCGGGGGGCGGGGCGCAGGGCACAGGTGCGGGCGCGCCCAGTGAAAATCTGTCGCGCGTCCTGCTACAAGTAAGAACATATTTCATAGGAGAAAAGTCAAAGAGAGAGTATCAGAGAAGGTATTGAACTTTACCAAACTTTCCAGTGAGATTATTTTCACTGCGCTTGCCTCCACGCAGGTAACTTTTTATATCTGGTTTGAGGCCCCCGTGGCTCTGTGGCGTTCCCTTGACTGAGACGTTTCAGCGATGATCCCTTCGGGTTCCTCCTAGTTTGCGTGGGCTTCGGGCAGAGGCCGACATCCTCTGACACCTGACGCGGCCTGGGGAGTGGGAACGCACGGCCACAGAATTCAGATGACAAATGTCCCACAAGCCCGAGAGTATCGGACCACGGAGAACGATGCCCACGGAACTGGAGACGACACATGCCCTGAGTTCCCAAACGAGAGGATGGAAAACAAGCCCTCAAGACGCGTGGTCACTGGACGCCGCAGACGTGCGTTGGAGCGCATGCTGCAGACTCTTAGAGAAGAGCCTGGCGAGCGCTCCGAGCGCGCCGTCCAGACGCAGCTTCCTTTCTCTATTTTCTCAGATAAAATGGCAGGATATTGAAAGCATGCAATGTGATGATTCGATATACCTATACCCTCAGCGGTCTCCCCTCACATAACCAGTTTGAGGTTTTTTGGTGAGAACGTCCAAGTTCTACTCTCGGCGAATTTCAATTATACAATGTCGTATTATCAACTACAGTCACCATGTTAGGCATCGGATTGTCAAAACTTATTCATCTCAAACCTGAAAATTGGTACTTGTAAAAACTACTTCTCCTATTTCCCCCCAACCCCTGACCCCAGGCAACCACATTTCTGCTGTTTTTATGAGTGCAACCCCTTTTTTTTTTTTTAGATTCCATGTATGTGATACTTGCTGCGTTTGTCTTTCTCTGTCTGGCTTGTCTCACTTAGCATTATAATGCCCTCCAGGTTCATCCATGTTGTTGCAAACGACAGGATTTCTTTCTTTTTTAAGGATGAATAATATTCTACTTTATATGTATATAGGGTAGTCCTGTATTTAATGACTTGAGGAACCTCCATACGGATTTCCAGAGTGGGTGCGCCAGTTCCCACTCCTGCCAACAGTGCACAGGTTTCCTGTTCTCCACATCCTCTTGTTTTCGACCGTGGACATCCTAACAGGTGTGAGGTGATATCTCTTTGAGGTTTCGATTTGCATTTCCCTTATGATGAGTGATGTTGAGCATTTCTTCACATACCTGTTGGCCATCTGTATCTTCTTTGGGAAAAATGTCTATTTGGGTCCTTTGCCCATTTTTCAATTGGGTTTATTTTGGAGTGGTTTTTTTTGTTTTGAGGGTTTTTTTCAGCTATTGAGTTGTATGAGTTGCTTGCATATTTTAGATATTAACTCCTTATCAGATATGTGGTTTGCAGATATTTTCTACCATTCTTCGGTTGCCTTTCATTTTGTTGATGGTCTCCTTTGCTGTGCAGAGCTTTTTGGTTTGATGTAGTCCCGCTTGTTTATTATTGCTTTTGTTGCCTTTGATTTTGGTGTCAAATCCAAAAAAGCATCACCAAGACTGATAAGTGTTTTCTTCGAAGAGTTTTATGGTTTCAGGTTCTGTGTTTAAGTTTTTAATCCATTTTGAGTCGATTGTTGTGTACGGAGTAAGACAGGGGTCCAGTTTCATTCTTTTGTATGGAGCTGTCCAGTTTTCTCAGCACTGTTTATTGAAAAGGCTGTTCTTTTCCTATTGTAGATTCTTGGCTCCTTTGTGGAAACTTCGCTGACCGCATATGTGTGGGGTTATTTCTGGGCTCTCTATTCTATTCCATTGATCCCTGTGTCTGTTTTTATGCTAATGCCACACTGTTGTGATTTTTGTGGCTCTGTAATATAGTTTGAAATCAAGAAGTGTGATAACTTCAGTTTTGTTCTTTCTCAGACTGCCGTGGCTCTTTAGAGTCTTTTGTGGTTCTATACAAATATTACACTGCTTGTTTTATTTCTGTGAAAAATGTCATTGGAGTTTGATAGGCATGGCATGGAACCTATAGATGGCTTTGGGTACTACGGACATTTTAACAATACTAACTCTTCCAATCCATGAGCATGGAATATCTTTCCATTTATTTATGTCTTCTTCAATTTCTTTCATCAATGTCTTATACTTTTCAGTTCATAGATCTTTCACTTCCTTGGTTAAATTTATTCTTAAGAATTTGATTCTTTTTGATGCAATTGTAATTGGGGTTGTTTTCTGAATTTCTTTTTCTGGGATAGTTCCTTGTTGGTGTATAGAAATGCAGCTAATTTTTGTATATTGATTTCATATCCTGCAACTGTGCTGAAATTGTTATTAGTTCAAACAGTTTTTGGTGAAGTGTTATGGGGTCTCTATATAATATCACGTCATCTGCAAATAGAGGCAATTTTACTTCTTCCTTCTTATTCGGATGCCTTTTAATTTTTTTTTATTGACTAATTGCTCTGATTAGGGTTTGCAGTACTATGTCACTAAAAGTGGTTAGAGTAGACATCCTTGTCTTATTTCTTACCTTTGGGATAAAGCTTTCAGTGTTTCACCATTGAGTATATTGTTAGCTATGGGTTCATCATATATGGCCTTTTTTATCTTGAGATAAGTTCCCTCTATACCCACTTCGTTGAGAGTTGTTATCATGAAAGGATGTTGGATTTTGTCAAATGCTTTTTCTGCACCTGTTGAGTTGATGATACGATTTTTATCCTTCACTTTCTTAACGTGGTATATCACATTAATTCATTTGCAGATGTTGAGCCATCCTTGAATCCCTGGAATAAATCCAACTGGACCACGCTGTATAACCCTTTTACTGTATTGTTGAACTCAGTTTGCTAATATTTAGTTGAAGATTTTTCATCTACGTTCATCAGGGATATTGGCCTGTAATTTTCTTTTCTTGTAATGACTCTGGCTTTGGTATCAGAGTAATGCTGGCCTCAGAATATGAGTTTGGAAATGTTTCCATATCTTTTATTTTTTGGAAGAATTTGATAGGATTGGTATTAATTCTTCTCTAAATGTTTCTTAGAATGTCACCAGTGAAGTTGTCTGGTCCTAGGCTTTTGTTTGTTGGGAGGTTTTAATTACTCATTCAATCTCCTTACTAGTAATGGATCTGTTCAGACCTTCTATCTTTTCATGATTCAGGCTTGGTAGGTCGTATGTTTGTAGGAATTTATCCATTTCACCTAGGTCATCAAATCTTTTGTGTGTAATTGTTCGTAGCGGCCCTTAACGATCCTTCATATTTCTATGGTTCGGTTGTAATGTCTCCTATTTTATTTCCAGTTTTATTTATTTGAGTCCTCCCTTTATTGTTGCTGGTAAGTCTAGCTAAAAGTTTGTCTATTTTGTCTATTGTGTCAAAAAATCAACTCTTAGTTCCATTGATCTTTTCTATTGCCTTTTTAGTCTCTATGTCTGCTCTGATCTTTGTTATTTCCTTCCCTCTACTAACTTTGGCCTAGTTTGTTCTGCTTTTTCAAGTTCCCTGAGGTGTAAAGTTCACTGAAGTATAAAATTTGGTTGTTTATTTGAGATCTTTCTTTTTATTAATGTATGTGTTTATCACTATAAACTTCTCTCTTAGAACTGCTTTTGTTGCATCACATAAGTTTGGGTATGTTGTGCATCCATTCTCTTATCTCAATATACTTTTTGATTTCTTCTGTGAACCATTTGCTGTTCAGGGCCATGTTGTTTAATTTCTACTTATTTGTATATACTTCAGTTTTCTTCTTGTAATTGATTTCTCATTCCATACCTTTGTGATCAGAAAGGATGTTTGATATGATTTCAGTCTTCTGAAATTCATTAAGGATAAACAACATATTTGGGCCTAACATATTATCTATCCTGAGGAATGTTCCATGTGCACAAGGAGAGTGTGTATGCAGCAGCTGCTGGATGGGATGTTACATCTGTCAGGCCCATCTAGTCTAATAGTAGTGCAGTCCCATATTTCTTTATTGATCTTTTGTCTGGATGCTCTATCCATTGTTGAAAGTGGAGTACTGAGGCCCCCTCCTATTATTGTATTGCTATTTCTCCCTTCAGCTCTGTTAATACTTGCTTTATCTACCTAGGTGCGCTGATGTTGGGTGCATAAATTAAGCTGGGAAAGTACCTAGTTAAGGTCCTTCTAGGGAGAAGCTTGGAGATGGGCCCTTTTGCCTGCTCCCTCTGTGCTGGGCCTGGGTGTACAGCCACTGGCAGGAGGCATGGGACAGATGAGGCTATGTTGCTCCTGTGACCATTAAGAACTGTTTGCTTGCAACAGTCCTGGGAATCATAAGCCCCAGCCCCTTTGGCTACTGGGGAGAGGTGATCCAGGGTCCTGTCCTTTCAGCTGTAACCACAAAAGCTGAGGAGGTACATGCGCGTACAAGCACCTTCCAAGGAGACACTGGTGCCTAGGTTTTATTACTGGAGCAGGCTGGAGGGAGAAGGGATGAAAGGTGTCTACCAGCTTCCCGGTCTCTGGGAAATATTTCAGCCAGCACCTGGATGCTGGCCAGGTTAGAAACGTGGCCCCTGGATCGTGACTTTTCGAGTATGCAGATAAAACCCTTTCAGGGAGAGACTGAGAGATACGTCATTTTGCCTGCTTTCTCTATGCTGAGTTTGGGGGGTAGCTAGGTGAGTACTTGCTTGCCCACTGACAATTGCTTCTCTATTTGCCATAGTCTTGTGAGTCTTGTGGATACACGTCCCATTGGCTTTCAGAGCTAGTTGTTTGGGGCCCCAACCCTCCGGTGGGAGTCGTAAGAGTTGTAGGACTCTAGATATGAGATCCAAACCATTTGCTCCTCAAGGGGAAGCTAGGAACTGCGGTGCCCTCCTGAGATTGTATGGCACTCTGCCACGGGTAGAGTTTACGGCAAAAGTGTGTCTCAGCCTTTCTTACACAATTAGATGTGGGTATTTGTTGCTGTGTCTCGTGTGTAGGAGTCGCTTTGCCAGTTTCTGGATCTCTTTTACAGGGAATTGCTCCATGTGTACCTGTAAATTTGGTGTGGCCGTGGGAGGAGGGGCACGCAGGAGCCTCCTAGGTCATCATCTTGGTTGACTCATGCCTTGTTTCCATTCTCGATGTGTCAGTTCACTGGTGCGTGGGGGAGCTCCTCCCTGTCAGCAGATCTCAATTTTATCTCCCGTTCTGAAAATCTGGATTTCCACAAATGTATTATGATTGTAGCAAAGCACTTCACAAAAATTCTTCCTAAATCCTTCTGGATAAAATGGTAAAAGGTAGGCTGAATCACACTGCCCTTAGGCAGATTCTTAATGGATTGAATCACAGTAGAGCCAGGCATGGTAAATCATTTTCTCAGTGTGAAATAAACTGATTAGGGAAATGTTATGGGGTTGTGATATTGATCTTGTGCTCATCAGAATTATTTTAAATCGATGACTTTGATGAAAATAGGGAAGAGATCCTTATCCAATTTGCTGAATTATAAAATTTGTGATGGATAACTAATAGTAAAAAGAATGCTCAGGAGCCCATATTATTTGACGTGGTTGGAATTGAAAGCAATTAAGATACTGAGAAAAGAAAATTATAAACATATAGGCTGCAAAGAGACTATCTTGAATGGTCTTGTGAGACCTAACATGAGTCACATGTATAATTTTTAATTTTCTAGTAGTCACACTTAAAAAGGTCAAAAGAAACTGAGGAAATTAATCTTCAAAATATTTTAAAGATCCATTTATTTATTTTAGAAAGAGAGAGAACACGAGTGGGAGGGGCAGAGGCAGAGGGAGAGAGAGAATCTTAAGCAGACTGCACTG